ATGTTATTGTTTAGCAGGAAAAACATGTTCAATGCCTGCTGCGATCTATTGGGATGTAGTAGAACAGATGGGCAATGTTTATTCTATTAATAGAAATAAAACACTAGTCAGAGGTATGCAAACAGATTGTTTTGTGTCCAATGGTCTTTTTTCATCTACTCTTGAATGTTATTATGACTCCTCATGTCTTGAACTTCTCGTTTCGAATACAACTGCTTTTACACCTTTGAATGCTACTATTCCAAGTAAATTTTCAATAGATAGTCGTGTTCAAGATCTGATGAATGAATTGATGTTGGAAGAGATTGATTCGTCCTATTCTCTAGAGATGTATTATCCACACTGTGCACCATTGACATGTATGTATTCTTATACACATCGTGTTGAACTATTAACTATAATAACAAGCATTATCGGTCTTGTTGGTGGTCTGAATACAACTCTCATATTAATTATTCCATTGATCGCTGATATAATGTTGATAATCAAGCGGAAGCTGTTTGTTTCGTCAACCAATGAATTAGTGCAAGCTGCATCAGGTAGGATCATTTCAATTTCATATACCACAATTTATGAAGCATCAAAAAAGAAAGTATGCCATCCATGAATAAAATCTATCAGATTATCTAGTATATTGAAGTAGTAAGATTTCTAAGTGTACCAATTATTCAATTATCTAGACAATGTTACCGTTAGATCAAATTCTAAGGCTGTACTTCTACGTCATTGCGCATGTTCACTTGCAGAAATAGATTTTAGTACATTCCACAATGATGAATAAATGAAGTGCGGATTACAAAAACTCGACTTCTTGAAACTCTCTGTCTTTCTGTGCAATTTTTTCTTATACAAGCACACAAGAAAGTAGTTTTTTTTCTTTTGTTATGGACAATTGATTTTAAACAATGCAATAGACAATACTTCCACGTGTATCATGAAATCGTCGATTCCTGAAAAATCTTCTATTGAATATGTCGCATTGAGTAATTTGCCAAGTTTCAATCGAAAACAACTCTTTTCTATTTCCGAAAGATAACAAACATCGATGGAGAACAAAGAAAAAGTTAAATGTCTATAAATGAGCATATTGATGATAATACTTACCTGATCTTTTCGAGAAATTATTCTTGTTTGTCTTGATACCGACTTGCTATCAGATTCATCTCTACTCTTATTGAGAAAACTGCTTTCTTCAAGTAGCATACTCATGCATAATTATCCTAGTGAAATTTCGACGAATACACTCTCCATATTTAGTTTACTCAGCGTGCAATAGACATTTGCTGCAGTTGAGTGGTTACTTTTATATTATATATATTATCTTCATGTTGGAAGGTAGTTTAAATTGCCTATATTACATATATATACACACATGTCGCAATAGAATGTCTCTACTTCAAATTATCTTATTTCAACAAAAATTGCCAAAAATATTTCTTCATAAAAGTAATGTTTGATTAGAGTAGAAAAGTGTGTGTTATTGAAGTGAGAGTTCAAATTAAGCCGTAGCAAGACATTTTCGGAGGTGTCAGTCTTTGACAAGTTTGATTAATAGCTCGTTGATGAAACGAGAGTATATCTATGAAACAGATTGTATGTATCAGAACTCTATAATTGAGTCTATGGGCTTTTTTATTTCAAACTGAATTCTAAAATCAAAAAAGCCGCACCAACTTCTTCCGAATCAAACTTTTCTCGTTTGATACTACGTAGTCCCACTAAAAACCCTTAGTCCCCCCTAGTCCTGCAAAGTCCCCCTTAGTCCCCCCCACAAAAAGCTTAGTCCCCGCTTAGTCCCTTGTGCAGGGGACTAAAGCCTATAGTACACAAAGCCACAAGCACACCCTCACCCTCACTCGCGCGCCCACACCCGCACCATGGGTGTGGGTGTGTGTGTGGGTTCCAGACCAACACCCACACCCTCAGTCACTCCCCCCCTCACTCCTAGACTCACGTTTCAGTTTGAAATCAAGTATTATTTTTATTTGATAAATTCAGACTGAAATTAAATAGCCCATAGTATGCTATAATTATACATTTTGTTTTTAGTTCTCTCTATTAAAGACCGAATATGTTTATTATGGGTGAAAATCAAATCGTTCAATTTATTTAACTCTCATTCTAATGATTCACGCATTACAAGTCGTGAACGATTGACGACTCGTCTTTTCATCATCTTACTTGTTCTTATATTGACCATTCTCACATTTTATATTGCTGTTCCGAAAACATTGCATACTTATACAATTTACACACCTACACTAGCCCAGTATGATATTCTAGCAATTAAATATTCTGCCACACTTCAATGTCCATGTAATGTTACGGAGATTCCTAAAAGAAGTTTTGCCATTATGAATATAAAGTATCACCAAATATGTTCCAGTAGCTTTATTTCACCTAATTTTATCGATCAACTCTATGCATTTAATGATTCACAATTGTACAGAAATGATTTTATAAAATTGGCTGGAAATTATTTCACACACATCGCTCTCATATGTATGGCTGCCATTTCTTATGTCCGAAATACTTACGATGAATTTTATGCAGGTCTCTTTGTTTCGGAAACATTGGTAACTCTAGATGAGTTGAATGAAAAATTTCAAACAGATGTCACATCGTTCAGATCCTCGTTTCAACAAAGTATGGGTAGATTAATAAAAACAGTAATTGAACTCATAACAGCTGCTTTCGTAGCATCAGCTACTTATAATTCTTTCGATCTACAAATCCTTCCAGATAGAACTATTCATATCGAACCTACTGGCTTTGCAAACTGTTCATGTATTATCGAAGCTAGAACTTGTTCAACTGAGGCGGGTTTCTACGAGTACAATTCATCAACAAATTCATTCACATTGTTATACTCAATAATGGGCATTCGAATGGCATGTTCACCGGCGCGATCTACATTACAGTCTACCCTTGCTTGTTGGTATTCATCAGAATGCTACAATACTGTAAGATAATTTTTTAATCTAGAATAACATTTAGCTAACAATCAGAACTCACTCCATTGAAAATCCTTAGCTATTATTGTCATTTCATTTAAAATAACTGATAATCATTCATGTGTAAAAGAAGATGAGGAAAACTATGCAGAATGGCATAGTCTCTGACATTATACTTCATCACAGGTAGTTGCCAAATTTCATTATTTTCATATTAGACAGTGCTATGAACTCGATCAAGTATAAGTAATTATCTGAATATATCTGTAATTTTATTCTTCAGAAAAAGGAGAATATCAACTAATTTTTACCGGCATTTCTACATTAGAATAGAAACATTAAACGGGTTCATTATTATTAAACACTAAAACAAAAACAAAAACAAAAACAATATAAGAATATATTTCATACAGACTAAATCAATTTTAGGTTATCAACTATTGGCAAAATAGACTTAACAATTTCCATTTCATTCCATCTTTGTTGTATCAAACGCATGAAAGTAATTTTAATGTATCTTCTTTAATTACGGATATTTTAGAAGAAGCAATGATTGAAGAATTTTCGATAGAAGTGTCCTATTCTTCTTTTTTCTCACAATGCTCAGCAATTTATTGCACCTATTCAGCTTATGGAAGACGAAATATTATTATTATCGTAACCATCTTGATGTCTGTTGCAAGTGGTCTATCTGTTGTCTTGAAATTAACGACACCTGTTCTAGTTCAAATCGTCTATTGGTGTTTAGGACAAATCCATGGTATGGACAAATATTAAAACTTGAGTGTTGGAAATATTTTCAGTAGATGAATGTACACACAAATTGAATACTAAAATATGCGTACATTTTCTGATGAATAGATGAAGGAAAAGATACAAATCCATTCAAAGATAAACGGTTAGAATTGAAAAAGATCTAAGAAGATTTCCAATTCATTATGTTCTGAAAAATCAAACAATAACTCAGAGTAAAAAGTCTTAGACAACTGTTCATTGTCTCATTTTTCATCAGCACAATCAGTTGTTCAAAACCAAAAATGACTTCGATTCTAGATGATCAAGTTCTATATGTAATGAAACAGATAAGGAGTGACAGAAAAACATTTCTACATGGACAATTCGGATTGAGTTTCAGAGGTTAAAAGTTATTCTGTGTTGTTTATCCACTCATGCTGTATGCGATACAAAATGTTTTCTTTAACTTCTAGTCGATAAAATGATTTTTTTTCAGTAGGTCGGCTTGATTGGTTACATCTACGACGTGAATTATATAATAAACTGATCAATCTCAATTTTTTCTTTGACCCACGAATCTCTTCTCACTTGACATTAGATATCGAACGGAATAAAACTCGGCTATATATGATACTTTGGACTTCAGTCTTTACTATTCTCGTAATTTACAATTCTCTAGCTAAAGAAGTTTTGACAGTCCGTGTCGAACAGCCAACACAAACAATATATGAACAACTCATAGACTCTGGTAGTTTATCGGTTCAGTGTCCATGTACACACTTCTTCTTCTTATATGATGCTTTTGTACAATTAGAAGCTCAGACGCATCAGATCTGTGCAAGTCAATTCATAGATGCTCCATGGATAGATAGTATATTTGGTGATGGTAATTGGTCACATATACCAAAAAATGAATTTCGTAGTCGTGGTGTTGCCTATTTTCTCGTTCAGCAATCTCTTTGTACTTTAGCTCAACTTATAATTAACAACAGCGTTCTTTTACTACGCAGTAAATTTATATACAGGGGTCAGGTCATTCCCAAAGAGCTATTCCTTTTGCAAATCAAAACTGATATTAATACTATAATAGATTGGAACATGATTTCATTTGCTTCAACACTTCACCTTGGCAGAGAACTGATGCAGAAAAGTCATTTCATAAATGTATTCTCTTTAAACTGGATTTATTCGCTTGAAGAGAACAATCAACTGCCGTATTATCATATTCCTACTCGACCAGTCACTCATGGACACAACTGTTCCTGTGCAACATCATCAACATGCACGGAACCAGTTTTTGTTGGTAACGAAATGGTGCCTGGTTTTATTCTCGGTTGTTCTCCAATGGAATCGCTTCTTCGATCTACACTCATGTGTCTCTATAATGAGACATGCCTTAATTTGATCAATATTCAGAATTTATCATTCATTCATCCACTTGATGCTTCATTACCTAGTCGATTTATGTTGAATAGTACAGTTGAAGATTTGACTGCAAATGTATTTGTGGAACAATGGTTATACAACATATCTTATTCAGCATTTTACTCTAAATGTCAACCATCGATATGCACATATTCGGTGTCTAAACGAAAAGATCTTCTTGAAGTAATTACAATCGTATTGGGACTTCACGGTGGACTGACATTAATTCTTCGCTTTATTGCTCCTTTACTTATATCCGCTGCTGATCTAATATCTGCTTTAGTTTGGCGACGTAACAATAATGTAGTTCCATTTACTTAAGTATCTTACTCTTCCCGATTTCTAGAACCTAGTTTGGTTCTTTCGATTTGTTTAGACTATAAGAGGGAAAATATGTCCTTAAATGATAAAAAAGAAAGTGTGCCAATCGGCCTATAATCTTATTTGATATCTTTTCTTTCTCAGTGCGTTCTTGTATGATCAAAGGTACATAGTGCTCACAATGTGTTACTCTTATCTATCGTTGATTGAACCTTGTTCTCTTTCTATTATAATGTGCTTCTCATTCTATATCATCAGTCACACTTATATTATGTGCATTGTTCTCACTTATGTATTCATACTCTACCGTTCATTTATATCTCTTCTCTCCTTGGTCTTGTCACTTGTGCACTCTTATATTGTAATCTTCTTGGCCTCATCACTTGTTCATTCTTACACTGTTCTCTCCTTGGTCTCATCATCTTTATTGTCATCATCTCTTATTCTACTTGTGTATATAAACGTGTGCTTTATATGTAAACGATACGATTGTATGATATGAAGGAATAGAATAAAGTGTAATACCATCAACACTAGTCTAACTTCTATCATTGATCGTCACATAACGATTAAATGATGTGAAGGGTTAGAATTAAGTGTATCATCACCGTCTGTCACCTTCACTAATATTTTAATTCATCCTTCATCATCATTTTTTCGTTACAGAAAGTATTGCTTGTTGTAGTGCTTAATTCCTATGTGGATGTGTGGGTGTGTTTATATGAGTAGAAATGATTCGAAAATCAAATCAAAGTATATAAAGCTAGCAAGACACGTGTTTCGACTACTGCTTTAAAGTAGTCATTTATCAATTGCTTACGATACGGTGGAAAAAGTTGTTTAAAAAAATCTCCTACTATGACATATGGCAGTCTTAATTTTCTATAAGAAAAACTTCTAAAGGTAATGATATGCATAAGAAACTTAAATTTTAAAGTGTTCAATAAGAATACTTCGAAATAATAGATAAGAAAATCTCGAACTAATTTTAGTTATTTATCTAGAAATGATTTCAAAATCTAGAATGATACTATTTTAACGTTGGAAAAAAGCTGTAGCATAAGTTAGGAAAATTAATTGTAAGAATGGGATGTCAATTACTAATCTTTGGTTTACATTTTAAATTCTTAATCGAAGATTTTCTGTTTTGCATATAATTAGTTGAAACATGTGAATTATTTTTTCGGTACTTTACTTTGTTACGTTTCGGGTATTGAGGTGAGTGAAATTATTCGAAAATTTGTTGGTATTTGTGTTCTCTAGAAGGCTTCATATTGTTGGAGGTGAGTAGAATGCTGATATCTATGGAGTCAAATTGCCTAAATGTTGTTACAAAAAAAAGTTGTAGGGTGTGGGTGTGGTTCTCGAAAGAATCCCAAGCTTTTTACGACCGGTTTCGTCCTTGCTTAAGGAACTCATCAGGTAAATTTGGAATTCAAATACATTGCATAGAGTTAGATGAAATCTCATATCAATAGAACAGGTACCACAAAGTATGTAAAATAGGTGAATATCATTAATTAGACCATATAAGTAAAATTTATATTTTTAATTGATGATCTACTTATATTTTATAGTCATCAAATACTTGTACAATGTTATGTATTTGTTATATATTACAGGTTGTCCGGACTTCTTGAAGCTCTTTAGGCTATAATTAGATCAAAAACTTTCAATCAGTATGGTGAAAAATAGTCACTGATCTATAATGCAGTTCATTTGCTGGATTTTGTCGGAGTTTAAATGGAAGTTTTAATCTATCTTTTGATAGAACGTATCATCATCTATCTCCAATAGATCCTCAAAGATGCACCATTGAACCCTTGTCGAGATTTTTTATTTTGATGACATTTTTTAGTACACCGTCATGGTCTCCCTCAAGCTCACTGAAAAATCGACTTTCGAATTTCGACTTGAAACTTTGAGCAGAGAAAGGTCTCAAAGACTGGTTTATTCTGAAATTCTGAAATTTCTTGGTTGCTCCTATCTTTAAATATGAACACTTAACATTTTGTGCTTTAAGTAATGTGAAAAAAAAGTACTTTTTCTTACACTCGTATCTCAAGAGAGAAGGAACTCAAAAATCTGAAACCATCAGAACAAACTAATCTGATTGAAACCCTTTTCTGCACAAACTTTCAAATCGAAATTTGAAAGTTGATTTTCCAAGTAAATCTGACAAAGACCACGGTGTTCTGCTGAAAATTGCTGTAAAAATGAAATATCTTGATAGAAATAAGCAAGAAGCACGAGGCTTTTTCAGAGTGTTCATAGCTCATTAGAGCCTACATAATGCACATAGTCTCGACCCAATAGCGATTTGGCACCTGGCAATTGCTTCTGATCCCTTTTTTCTATCCAACGTGACCCACACCCTCCAGATAGCTATGCGACCCATCTCCTCAATTATTTCTATCCTATCTGATATAATGATCGACAAAAAAAAATTAAGAAATAACTGTTTTCAAGGGTTCCATGAGGTTACAAGGGACTCCAAAGAGTTGAAATCTGCCGTTTTCCCTTTGGGGTGTTGGTGTGGATGTCGAAAAAGAAAACAAAATAAACCAAAGCCAACACCCACCCACATCCACACCCTTTCGTCAACGAAGACATTGATAGAAGAAAAAAGTTACTTAAGATAATAAAAAAAGGTTTTTTACTGAGCCTCACCTGATTTGGAAACGTTCCGCCGCCCCTGTAATTAACCATAAACTCAAAGATATTGAAAAACACGCAAGCAACAGATGATTTAAGTGACGAATTTGAATTGGACGAAGAAGAAAATGACGATGATGTCACAGAGAATGAAGTGAAAGATAATCAACACTCATCAGATTTTGGCGATGAAGATGAAGAAGAGAATATGAATTCATATAAAACAAACTTTGTCGGAATTAAAATTTTAGATACAATTCATCCACATTTAAAAGATCCATCCTTCAAAATTAAGATAAATGAGAATTACCGATATTTACATAAACAATCAACATGTTGGTTCTTAATTGATACAAACAGTCGTTTATCAAGTGATCGCCTTTCTCATGTTATTGAAGCAGGCAAAAAATATTGATATTAATGGTATTTGTTTTCTTACATTTTTTAGCTTTGCTTTTTAATAAATAACTTAAGTTAATAAAAACGTTCTTCTCTTCCTGTAAATGCCATTAATTTTCTTGGTATTTGTATATACCTGTAGATGCTTCTCGGTACTTCTTCGTACTTCAGAAGTATGCCTTTTCCCCCTTGCATTATATTTACTTGTTTTTAACCTTGAGGCAAACCGAACATATAATGACTTATTATATTTATATACTAGGGGTTGCGTAAACTATATACAAAAAAAAACTTTCAATATTGATTGTATTCAACGAAATCATTATATCAAATACTAATGGGAATATTTTTGTTGCACTCTATTGTATATATTCATCTATAGTGAGTATTTCTGTTCATATTCCACTACATATATTTCTATGGATTTGTTGATATTTGACTCATTCAGAAAGGTCTTATTTGAAATCAACTAGATCAATAAAAATCTTCACAATAACACCTATCCAATTCAATTCAAAAACAAACATATTGAATATATATATTAGGACTTGATTATTTCGATGATTCTTCCTTTGTTGATTAATCTATGTCTATATTAATGATAGATTTCAATTAGAAAATTTAAAATATAGTGAAAAAAAATAATAAACAAGATTATTGATACTTTTTCAAATCATAATATTATGAAGGATAATAAGCAACTATTTCTAAGATTATTTTTCATATAAATCAATGCTTTTCAATGAAAGATTTGAAAAAATTCTAGAAGCACAGTTAATTAAATAAATAAGTAAAAATAAAACAAACAAACAAATCATTATAGAATAATATCTACCTAGCGATTAAATAATGATTTGTCAACTATAACAAAGAAGTATATATTCAATATCATTGTATTATTGTGTTGAATAAAGAATATAAATTTAAATTTTATTATCAAATATTTAGATATAAGCCTTCATTAGTAATCACATTTAATAATAGTCCTCTAGTATCGATTCAGATGATATATATTTTTAGATGAAACATTATTCAAACTAAATAATATAAAGAATCTATGGTTATTCAAATCAGAACCAGTTCGAGTTTTTATTCGAAATTAAAACGAAAACTTAGCAAATATTGGAGAACCAAATTTTTTTCTTTATGTTTTCTCTTTTTTTTTTCTTATGTCAAAATGAATTCAAATTAAAAAAACTTTTAAATTAAATTCTTGCAGAATTCGATAAATCATCTATGAATATATTTATTTGTATCTCTATTTTTAAAAAATGCCTTCATCTTATTATATATAATCATATTTTTTTTTATATTGCTCTTTCCTTATGATAAAAATTGTCGATATAAAATTTGATTCACTTTGTATATTTATGTATCGAGATAAAAATCTTTCTTTTATATTAACTAACTAAATAAAGATGATTATTGTTAATAATACATCGTTTAAATGAATATTTCCATAATGAACCAGCTTTAATCCATAAATAAAATAGAGTTAAACGATAATAACTGTTTATTAAGCAACTTCAAATAAGTAGAATTCGACCTTTGTTTCTTGTCGAACTTAACTAAATAAATAATTTATTATACAAAAATTATATTTATTAATTTATATCTTGATAAAACATAATGCACAGTGAGAAGCCAGCCGGACATATTCGAAAATAATCTTTTCCAGAATCTAACTGCTTGCGTAGATACATACATATGTGATCGATCATTTCCTAAAATAGCGGTTCTCAAAATTTTATAAAGCTCTAGAAAAGAGTCTGACAAAGGTCGGACCCAGAAGTCTGCATAAATAAACAATATCAAGCTGCTCGACAATATAACACAATATTTCACAAGCAAACAATATCGAGAAAAACTTGCTTACCTATGAACTTATTGTACCGCCGATATAGGCACTTGTTCTATCGTAGTGAACAAATGTGTACATAATAACT